GAGAATTGCCTGAACCCAGGAGGCGGAGGTTGCGGTGAGCCGAGATCGCACCATTGCACTCCAGCCCGGGCAACAAGAGTGAAACTCCGTCCCAAAAAAAAAAAAAACGTTGGCTGGGCATGGTGGCTCACGCCTGTAATCCCAGCACTTTGAGACACCAAGGTGGGTGGATCATGAGGTCAAGAGATCAAGACCATCCTGGCCAACGTGGTGAAACCTCATCTCTACTAAAAATACAAAAAAATTAGCTGGACATGGTGGCACTTGCCTATAGTCCCAGCTGCTCGGGAGGCTGAGGCAGGAGAATTGCTTGAACCCCGGAGATGGAGATTGCAGTGAGCTGAGATCACACCAGTGTACTTCAGCCCGGTGACAGAGCGAGACTCCGTCTCAAAGAAAAAAAAATGTTGGCAACTCAAGTGAAACAATCATTATTTGTTTGTTTTTTGAGACAGGATCTCATTCTGTCATCCAGGCTGGAGTGCAGTGGCACAATCTTGGCTCACTGCAATCTCCGCCTGCTGCGTTCAAGTCAGCCTCCCGAGTAGCTGGAACTACAGGGGCACATCACCATGCCTGGCTAATTTGTGTATTTTTTGTAGAGAAGGGGTTTTGCACCGTTGCCCAGGCTGGTCTTGAACTCCTGAGATCAAGTGATCTGCCTGTCTCGGCCCACCCAAAGTGCTGGATTTACAGGTGTGAGCCATCATGCCCGGCCTGAAATAATCGTTTCTAAACATTGGCCAGACAGTTGTGTTTGGACCTGCTTGTGACCTGGCCTCAGAGACTCCAGGACATGGCTTTGGGGACTTGGCTGTCAGCTTCCTGTGCCTTCTGTACCCCCACCCATTTCTGCTTCCTGGAACCCCCGATCCTGTCCTGTTCTGTGGTGATTCGGGTGTGGTTGGCCTCCAGGAGAAGATGTGTGAAGAATCGGCATCATTTGACCTGACCCCCCATGACCTGGCTTCAGGACTGGACGTCATAGACCGGGTGCTGGAGGAGCAAACCAAGGCAGCGCAGCAGGGCGATCCCCCCCCGGAGTTCAGCGCAGACACCCCCAGCTCAGGTGCGTTCACAGCCAGGCTCCTGGGTCCTGAGCCCCAGGCTGCCATGGGTGGCAGCCTGCCCTGTGACTGTGTGTGGTCTCCCTGGGCACCACACAGGCTGGCACTGCATGGCATCAGCTTCTCTCAGAGGCTTCCTGGGTGTGAATTGTTCAGGGTCCTGTAGACCGTGGAAGGGCCGTTATTGTTCAGTAGTTCTGGCATTTTCTGAAGACGTCTTCTCCCAGCCAGTATCAACTTGGCCTCTACTATGTAAAATTGGAAAACCACATCGCTTGAGGCCAGGAGTTTGAGACCAGCCTGAGCAACAGAGCGAAACCTGGCCGCTACCAGAAACTTAGCCAGGTGTGGTGGTGTGCGCCTGTGGCCTGAGCTGTCCTGGAGGCTGAAGTGGGAGGAGCGTGAGCCTGGGAGGCAGAGGTTGCCCCAGATGGCTTCACTGCTCTCCAGCCTGGGCGACAGAGTAAGGCCATCTCAAAAAAAAGGGAAAACTAAATATATTCACTGTAAGTGCAGTTTGCATTTTTAAATGACCTGCGAATCTGCTGCCATGTCACTTGCTGTGCTGTGGATTCCTTCCCAGTATTTGTCCAGAGTCGTATTTTCATACAGCACTGGTCATGGCACACATGGAAATCCTTTATGGATGTGTTCAGTTGGTCCATATTCTCTTTCTTTCTTTCTTTTTTTTCTGAGATAGAGTTTTGCTCTTATTGCCCAGGCGGGAGTGCAGTGGCACAGTGTCTGCTCACTGCAGCCTCTGTCTCCCGGGTCTGAGCGATTCCATGCCTCAGCCTCTTGAGTAACTGGGATTACAGGTGCCCGCCACCACACCCAGTTAATTTTTTGTATTTTTAGTAGAGACAGGGTTTCACCATGTTGGCCAGACTGGTCTTGAACTCCTGACCTCAGGTGATCCACCTGCCTCAGCCTCCCAAAGTGCTGGGATTACAGGTGTGAGCCGCTGCACCCTGCCTTGGTCTGTATTTTCTACATGGTCTCTGTAAACAGCTGACTAGGAGTCTGAATATTTCCATATGTTCTTCTGCTGTGACACTACTTTGACGTGAGCATCTCTGGGTATAAACAGCGTCAGCTTCCCCCGTTTTCCTTTAAAATCACACGTGTGGACAGACACCATGGGGACCCTGGACCCTGGGCAGCCCCGTCCTCACCCCCTCACCAAGGCTGCTGCGTGGTAGAGAGAGAGTTCTCAAACTTGTCATTTGTTTAGCACAGAAGTGCTCAGGTGTTCTGGCTTTAGGGTCCCTTGGTATGTATATACACATATTTAAGTGACAGGGTCTCACTCTGTGACCCAGGCTGGAATGCACGATCACAGCTCCCTGTAGCCTCGGTCTCCTGGGTTGACAGGATCTTCCCACCTCAGCCTCTTGAAGCGCTGGGACAGCAGGTGCACACCACTGCCACCGGCTCTCAAGACTGCCACGCAGGGTGCTGCAGTAGGGGAAGGGGTTCCTGGGACTTTGAATGCTCCACTTCCCTCCTCTCATGGTCCCCCAACCCTGTCTCTCTAACTGGGAGCAGACGGCCACCTCTTTCCATCCTTTGCTCGGCTCAGGGTAGGGAGAGTGACAGGTCTCCTTCCCGTGTCTCTGCAGCTGCTGTTTCGTCGGGGGGGGGGAGTGCCACCTCTTTGCTGATGTTTGCTCGTGCACATGGCATAGTCTGTGGCCACAGTGAGTCACGGGGGGTGAGCTGCAGCCTCTTTGTGGTGGTCACTTGGAATGGGGACAGATTGGGTCAGAAGAGTTCTGTCCAACAAGAAGGCTGTCCTCTTCCTGGTCCTTTGGCTGGAAGAGAGGACGTTTCTCAGGCTGTTTTTGGTTTGTGCCTATGGTGTTTCCAGGTTGCAAGGTTCCTAGCACCTCGGCCAGGTTATATAACGTGTGAGCAACCACCCACCCACCCCATCACCACTGTTTCCCTTCTCCACTCTCCAGTTTTGGTAGTTGCTTGAAGTGCAGGGCTTTTTGTTGAATCTCGTGGGGGACATGTGGTGGGGGACGCTGCTTCTGTCTCATTCAGGACTGGAGCTTCAGTTTTCACCCCTGTTCATTCCCCACCCCTTTGGAGATGGGGTCTCGCTCTGTCTCCCAGGCTGGAGAGCAGTGGTGCCGTCACAGCTCACTGCAGCCACCACCTCCTGGGCTCAGGTGATTCTCCTGCCTCAGCCTGCCAAACTCCTGGGACTACAGGCGTGTGCCACCTTGCTCAGCAGGGTCCATTCTTTTCCTCACACTTTATTTATTGAAGAGCCCAGGCCGTTTACCCTGAGGGTCTGAATCTGTGTACGGGAGGGGAAGTCCTGTCGGTTCCCGCGTCTTCTCTGCACTTAGGTGGTTTGAGAGCCTGTTACACTTGGGCAGGAGTCTAATCTGTGTACGAGAGGGGCAGTCACACGAGTTCCCGGTGCATTTAGGTGGTTTTGTTTTGTTTGTTGTTTGTTTTTGAGAAGGAGTCTTGTTCTGTCGCCAGGCTGGAGTGCAGTGGCGTGATCTCGGCTCACTGCAACCTCTGCCTCCCGGGTTCAAGCTGCTTCTGCCTCAGCCTCCCAAGTAGCTGGGACTACAGGCGCACACCACCACGTCTGGCTAATTTTTTGTATTTTAGTAGAGACGGGGTTTCACCATGTTGGCCAGGATGGTCTCAAACTCCTGACCTCGAGATCCGCCTGCCTCGGCCTCCTAAAGTGCTGGGATTACAGGCATGAGCCACCGCACCTGGCATTAGGTAGCTTGAGAGCCCAGTTAGACTTGGGCTGCTTTTTGCAGGGCTCCAGGTGGGATGATGCCCTTTCTATCAGGCATATCACAGTATCCTGTTTCCGTTCTCTTCTGATGCTAACAGTGTTGCTGCTGAACACCTGGATCTGTTAATTATTGGGGGTTGAAAGATGGTAGTATGCTAATTCCACAACTTAGTCGTTAGCAGGAATAATTTAGGACAGTGGTCTGCGTCACATCAGCTGTGTGTGGTGCTGTTCACACAGGAAAGGCGGGATGAACGCCGGGTGGGGTCCCGTTCACGCAGGAAAGGCGGGATGAACGCCGGGTGGGGTCCCGTTCATGCAGGAAAGGCGGGATGAACGCCGGGTGGGGTCCCGTTCATGCAGGAAAGGCGGGATGAATGCCGGTTGTGGTCCCGTTCACGCAGGAAAGGCGGGATGAATGCTGTGTGTGAATCCTATTCATGGGATCCAGTGTCTCAAAAATAAATAAATAAAGGGAAAACACCTCCTGCTTCTCTGGTGTCTCCAGTTCGGATCTGGCCTGCACGGATTCCATGGAGCCTCTTCCTTCCCTTGTTGCTGTCCTTTCTTCCCCGCCAGGGATCCTGTTACGGGCACAGTTGTTGGAACGAGCGTGAACTGTGCCTTTGCTGCTTTTCTGTTACGCAGGACTGAACATGGAGCTGGAAGACATTGCAAAGCTGAAGAGTAAGTGCCGCCCTCCCGCCCTTCCTACCTCCTTGGAGCTGGGTGAGGCCTCCCCTGACACCCCCTCGACCCACAGTGATTCTGCTTCGCCTGGAGGGGGCCATCGATGCCATTGAGCTGCCTGGAGACAACAGTGGAGTCACCAAGCCAGGGAGGTGAGAGGCGAGGAGGGAGCCACGTCACTGCAGGCCCAGCCTGGAGCTAGAGACAGGCCGTGCTGCAGTCCTGGGTCCCCACACACCAGTGAGTTCTGTTTTCCCTTTGTGAGACCCAGCAGGAGCGCCCGCTTTATATTACTTGTTGAGACGTTGAGAGCAGCAGCACACGCTCCCACACAGGCCCTGGGTCTTCCATAGTTTCTCCCTTGCCAGGCCTTTCCTTGGACCCTGCTCCAGCCCTTCGTTTGCAGCACAGGTGCCTGTTAGAACAAGCCCTTATCGTTAGGACCGTGCGTGTCCCAAGCCACCTCTTGTGGACTCCGGGAGGCCCGGAACATTCTGAATGCTCTGTGGGGCTCTAGTCCTCGCAGCCATGGCAGCAGGGTTCATCGTCTGTCCTGCAGGCAGATGAGGAGTCAGGGCTGGGCCTGCATGGGGGCTCTCCTCAACACACAGCCACCAAGGCGGAGTGCGTTCTGGGCCCTGAGCGCCGACCTTGTGGGGGCTCCCAGTTGCTTGCAGGTGGAGCCAGTGTCCTCAGCGTAAGGCCCAAGGCTCTGACCTGGCTCCTTGGCCACCTTGGACCCCCATGGGCCCCTCCTGTAGCTTCTGCTGCTCCCATCACTGTCATTTTCCAAAGCTCTGGGGACTCTGCCACCACCTCCCAGAAGCCCCTGACAACCCCCCAGCGACCCCATCCCTCCCCTCCAGTGGGCAGCCCCTGCCCTTGTGGCTGTTCTCCTGCTGGCCAGGCCTCCTCTCTCCACCTCTCACCTCCCGTACTGGCATCCCCTGGACGGCTCAGTTTGTTTCCGAGGGAAGGAAACTCACATGGCCATTGCCTTAAGCTCCCAAAGCCACAGCCAGGTCTCCGCCCCCGGCGCCAGGCCCAAGCTTGCCTTCTCCTCGGCAGCTACATCTTTGAGCTGTTTGCTGAAGCCCAGCTCACGTTTCAGACCAAGGGCTGCATCCTGGACTCGCTGGACCAGATCATCCAGCACCTGGCAGGACGTGAGTGCTGGGGTGGGGTCTTCAGTGCAGGCCAGTGTGGGGCGGCGGGGTGCAGGCCTTCCATCCTGGCACGCAAGCCCCCGGCCGCACCTGCTGTCAGCCGACAGCAGGAACAGGTCCGCTGAGCCTCGCCTTCCGATTGGGACATGGCGGCATGAGTGCCACTTGCCAACTGCTGTAGAGCCGTAGTCCTGCAGCCTCATCCCATTATTCCCCTTTTAAGGAAGAGCAGCCCGAGGCCCTAGCTGGGTTCTGGGCCCTCTGGCTTTTCCATGCCACCCAAATCCTGCTTCTGCTCAGGGTTGTGGGGTCCAGAGGCTTTGAGGGACAGTGTCCCCATGGGCTGCTTTGGTTTGAGATGCCAGACCCAGTGGGGTCTTTACTGCACTCCTGGGTGCTGGGGAGGGTGGCTCTTGCTGCTTCAACCCTTATTTGACCATGGAGCCTCTTTTCAAGCTCCACTGACCCCCCTGGAGACTGTCCCTGCCTGGCTTCTCTCCTGGTTGCTGGGAAGAGCAGGCGAGCTGCCTGCCCTGAGTGGGTGCTGCGACCCACCCTGGGTCCCCGTCACGCAGGAGCTGGAGCTGAGCTGGCTCATGGCTGAAGGGGTCGGGGCCAGGGCCTCCCCTGCCTGTGATGTGGGTGTCAGTGCCCTGCTGCCCCCTAGGTGCTGGAGTGTTCACCAACACAGCTGGACTGCAGAAGCTGGCGGACATCATCCAGGTGGGGCCTGCTCCTCTGTGACATCCCCTTCCCCAATGGAAGCTGGGCGGGTGCCTTCTCCTGCTGTACTTGTTACTGATTCTAGACTTGGGGAGGGGACAAAGGCCCCCCACCACATGTTTCTAATTGGCAAACCCACAGCACCTTTCCCGTGCCCTGAGCCCACACTGGGAGAGCAGGGATGGTGGAGGGCGAGGTCTGGTGGCACGTGGCTGCTTAGGGATCATGCCCATGTGAGGTCTGCTCCTGGCTCCATGCCTGTAGCAGCACCTGCACCTGCTTTCCCCGATGCAGAGGTGCTTGTTGGGTTTGTGGAGGGCAAGCCCCGTTTTTAGGTGCTCTGGGCACACTCTTGCCTCTCCTGGGCCTTGCTGAGTTTTTAGAAGCAGACCCTGAAGTCCCTGACTGGGAGGCCATGAGTCCTTGGTGAAATCGGGACAGGTGGCCATATGGAGCTGTGTGAGGCTGCCTGTGTGCTGCCCACACTACACCTCCTGGCCACGTGAGGTCGTGGTGGGGTTGGCCGGGGCTGTCCAGCTCTGTGACAGCTTCATGAGTGTCTGTCTGGCCTTTGTGGTGCTCAAGCTGGGGAGGCTGCAGAAGAACCCTGGGACGTATGGCCAGCCTGTGCACATGCTGCAGTGCTCTGTCCATGCTGCCGGACAGCCAGGTGCTGCCTTCTCCTTCACAGATGCAGCTCTGAGCAGGCGTGAGGCCTGGTCAGGGAGCAGGTGCGGTGGGCACGGGGTGGTGGGGCCCAGGCTCAGCCCTCTCCACCTTGGCCATCTCTGCAGCCAGTGACACCACAGCCTGTAGCCTGTGTCTTCTCTGTGTGGCAGGTGGGGCTGGAAGGAGCATTGCCTTGTCCTCCCAGCTCCTCCCCAAAGGCATGGTATCCCAGGACCCACACACGCCCTCTCTGTGGCTCCTGCCTGCCAAGGGCCGCTGTGCTGTCTTGCCTGGAGTATGGCTGGCTCTTTAAGCCAGAGGCGGTGTACCTGCTAGGCAGACCTGCTTCCTTGTCAGGTCGCTGCAGAGCACCTGCAGCATATGGCCAGACCAGGCAGCCTGCGGCACCAGGGCCTAGAGGGCAGGTGTGTGCTGGTGGCAACCTTCCCCTCCCTGGAATGTGGCTTCCCAGGCTCTACTTATGGAAAAGTCTTCCCTCTCGTCCACACTGGAACCAAACCCTGCTCCACTGGTTTAGAATATCCTTTGGCTGCTGCTCTCATTAGCCGCTGAGAGACTCAGGTCTGCCCAGCCCTGGGGGTGATGAACAACCGAGCACAGTGCTCAACTGCCACTGCTCCTGAGCCCTGCGGGTGCTCCTGTGGGGACATGGGTGTGCTGGGCAGGCGTGGGCAGTGCTTACAGGGTGGGTGCTGGGTCGGTCTTGCAGCCCTGAGTTACAGGTGACCTTGGGGGCAGAGTGAGGCTGGTGGTCCCAGGATGAGGATGTAGGATGCACAGCTTAGCTGGGGGCGAACTCCGGGCAGGGCCGGTGG